AGACTCAACACTAGGAGGTATTTTTCCTTCCACCAGGTTTTCTTATGGCAGAGAGCTTTCTTCCTTGAGTCGCTAATAATTTTTAGACATGGTAACATGAAAGAAACCTGGCATGATGTCATGTGCAAAATAGGTACTTAGTAAGCACGATGGTGGTGGGGGTTACATTGCTACTTAATCAGTCAGTGGTTACAAAAACCCAAGGATGTTACCAAGACAGGGATGAGCAGTAATTGGATCTTGCCGAAGTTGGGAATCGATCCAACTTCTCAGTCACTCCAAGAGTAGTCACTGTGCGTCCCCCTCCTCCTTCCCATCCCTCTCCACTTCCTCCTCTTCCCACCCTCTATTTTTCTTTCATGATCTCTCATCACAACTTTAATATTCTATTTGCTTCTGAGGCTACTCTATTATATTTTAAGATATAAAATATACACTCTGGGAATGCCTCCTGCATTGCATCTGATTTTCTTTTCATGGGCTTTTAAAATCCTATTTTCTATTCTTTTGAGAAAAGGACAACAGTAGATTGTTAGGAGATTGAATTTTGAAATTATAACTCAAGAAAGAATGAACAACTTAGTAGTGACTCCAAAATGGCTACATAATGTCTTCTCTTAGAAGAAAGGTTTTTGTTATTGAAATTGAACCAAGTTAAATTTCCAATGTATGTTGACTCCTTTCTGTGTGTAGGCCTGGGAGCAGGTGCTAGCTTCAAGAATCCTACAGTCAATGGAGTAGACAGACTGTTGGATTTAGCATTCCAAGTGTGATGACAGTGGCTAAGGCAAGGCGGTGTGGGAGCATGGAGGAGGCCCCACTTTCTTTTACATTAGAAAGAGAAGGAAGATTGGCCCTCAGCTTTAGGGACTGGAAAGTTCCAGCAAGTTAAAAATATGGCATAATATACAGTTTTGTTGTTGGTAATATTTTAAGAGCCTAAATGGAGGCAGATTTAATTCTATAATGAACAAAATCTGCTAGCTCTTCTATTTGTTTGTTTGGAGATGGAGTCTCCCTGTGTTGCCCAGGCTGGAGTGCAGTGACACAATCTCGGCTCACTGCAACCTCCGCCTCCCGGGTTCAAGCGATTCTCCTGCCTCAGCATTCTTAGTAGCTGGGATTACAGGCACCTGCCACCACAGCCGGCTAATTTTTCTGTTTTTAGTAGAGAGGAGGTTTCACCATGTTGGCCAGGCTGGTCTCAAACTCCTGTCCTCAGGTGATCCACCTGCCTCAGCCTCCCAAAGTGCTGGGATTACAGGAGTGAGCCACTATGCCCGGTCTCTGCTAGCATTTTTAAATGAACTTTTTATTTCAGGATAGTTTTAGATTTCTAGAAAAGTTGTAAGCGCAGAAGTTTCCCATAGACACAGTACCCAGTTTCGCCTGTTATTACCATCTTACATTAGTATGGTACCTTTGTCACAACTAATGGACCAATATTAATACATTATTATTAATTAATGGCCATGCTCTATTGGGATTTCCTTAGTTTGGCCCTTAAGCCCTTTTGGTTCCAGATTCCCATGCAGGATAACACATGATCTTTAGTTACCCTGGCTCCTCAGCCTCCTCCAGGCTGTCAGTCTTCCTTGTTTTTGATGATCTTGACAGTTTTGAAGAATACAGATTAGAGAGTTCATTGACTGTCCTTCAACTTGGCTTCATGTGATGTTTTTCTCATGGACAGACTCAGGTTATGGGCTTTCGGGAGGAAGGCACAGAGGTCAAGTGCCGTTCTCATCTTATCAGCACATCCCATCCAAGGGTGCATGCCGTCAACATGGCTCGTCACTGTGGCTGTTGACCTTGGCCACCTGGCCGAGGGAGTCTTGGTCAGGTCTGTCCACTGGAAAGTGACTTCTCCCCCAACTTCATCACTTGGCTGTTAGAAGGAAGTCAGCATGCGCCAGCTGCATGTAAGGAGTGGCAGATTATTTTCTACCTTCTTGAGGGTGGGGTAGCCACATAAATTATTCAGAATATAGCTGCATGGGGATTTGTCTGTTCTCTTCATTTATATATTTACCCAATCATTTATTTATATATACTGCAGCATAAACTTACAGATACTCGTTGTGTACTTTGGGTTATAACCGAATACCATGTTATTTGTTTTGTGGCTCAAATTGTTCCAGCTTTGGCCTTTGGGAGCTCTTTCAGTTAGGTCCTGTGTCCGTTTGACTTGCCCCCACCAAAGTAGTGTCTTTTGGTTTTATTGTTGTTGTCTGAGCACTTCTTTACTTTGTGGCACCACAGGAGACTCCAGATTCATGTGTTCCCTGCCCCAGCCCTACGTGCAGCTGCTTCCCCTGGAGGCCTGCTTCCTTCTGCTGTAGAATGGCCTTGGAAACCAAGGTTTGGGCATTGGGTGTCATTGCTTTAGGCCCTCTCAGCAGACAGAGCTCAGAAACATGTGTGTATACTAACCTGTGTGTGTGTGTCTATGTATGTATTTATACTTACATATCTGCATCTGTGTTAAGGGAAACCTGAGTCTGCCCTGATGTTTCTACTCTAGTGGCACATGGTTCATTCCCACCATCTCCCCTTGCTTATCCATCACCTCCCTCTCCAACAGTGAGACCTGCCCCTGCCGTCCTCCATCCTTTTATGTAATTGTTCCATCCTGGTGTTCCTGTGTAGTGGTTTCAGAATTGTTAGCCTCCACCTTTGTGGGAAGCAAGCTTACTAACTAAAATGCAGTGCTGACATGCAGTTCCTGTTATCTTTAGTTTTATAGTCTCTACTCATTTCCAGAATGACTTAGGTCAGCACCTTCCTTCCCCCCACCGCCTTCAGTGAGGTTGTCGTATGTTTGTCATACAATCATCATCCCATCGTGGGGTTTCCCCGTCTCCTAGTTGGTTTTACTTGCATACTTCAAGGTTCACTCTTGGTGCTATAAGGGTCTCTGGGCTTTGACAAGGCATCATCATGTCACATATCCCTCACGATGGTATGTTACAGGATAGTTTTATCACCCTAGAAGACCTCCTTTACACCACGTATTCAGCCCCTGCTCTGCAACCTCTGACAGCCACAAATCCATTTTCTGTCTTTAGTTTGCCTTTACTCAAATGTCATATAAATGCAGTCATACAACATGGAGCCTCTCAGACGTGCTGCTTTCCTTTAACAGTGTGGATTTCAGATGTGGTTTGCTTCGTTCCTTTTATCACCAACTCATATTCCATTGTATGGATGGGCCAGTTTGTTTATCTGTTCACCTATCAGAGGACATCTTGGTCGCTTCCAGTTTTTGACGATTGTAAATAAAGCAGCTCTAAATATTTACATGTGGGTGTGTGTAGACATAAGTTTTCAGATCAATTGGGTAAATACCTAGTGTCAGTACAATTACCAGATCATATGGTGAAACTATATTTAGCTTTATAAGAAACTGCCAGACTGTCTTCCACAGTGGCTGTACTATTTTTCATTCCCACCAGCAAGGAATGAGAGTTCCTGTTGATCGGCATCCTGGCCATCAATTGGTATTTTGTCTGTCTTTTTGGATTTCAGCCATTCTGATAGGTGTATAGAAGTATCTCATTATTGTTTTAATTTGCATTTCCCTAATGACAAATGATGTCGAGTGTCTTTTCATATGCTTATGTGCCATCTGTATATGTCTTCTTTGGTGAAGTGTCTTTTCAGATCTTTTGCCCATTTTTTTAATTGGGGTGTTTGTTTTCTTACCATTGAATTTGAGGAGTTCTTTTTATATTCTTTATACAAGTCTTTTATCAGATATGTGATGTGCAAATATTTTCTCCTAATCTATGCCTTGTGTTTTAATCCTCTTAAGTTCTCTTGCAAATTTTTAAAAATGTGAATGAAGTCCAAGCTATCAATTTTTTTCTTTCATGGATTGTGCTTTTGGCATTAGATCTAAAAACTCATCACCAAATCACTTTCTTCTAGAAGTTTTATAGTTTTGCATTTTAAATTTAGGTTTATGGGCCATTTTGAGTTAATTTTTGTGTAGGGTGTGAGGTTAGTGTCTAGGTTCCCTTTGTTGAAAAGATGAAGATCTTGGCTGGGCACGGTGGCTCACACCTGTAATCCCAGCACTTTGGGAGGCTGAGGCAGGCGGATCACCTGAGGTCAGGAGTTCAAGACCAGCCTGGCCAACATGGTGAAACCCCATCTCTACTAAAAATACAAAAATTAGCTGGGCATGGTAGCCAGCATCTGTAATCCCAGCTACTCTGGAGGCTGAGGTAGGAGAATTGCTTGAACCCAAGAGACTGAGGTGGCTGAGATTGTGCCACTGCACTCCAGCCTGAGCAACAAGAGTGAAACTCTGTCTCAAAAAAAAAAGAAAAGAAAACATGATCCTTTCTCCAAGGAATTGCCTTCATATCTTTGTCAGTGTTGCTAGTGTTTCAAAATTCATGTCCTTTTCCTTTCTACCTAGCTTACGTTCTGTAAAACAGTGGTCCCCAGCCTTTTTGGCACCAAGAAAATTGTGGAAGATGATTTTTCCATAGAAGTGGGGGTGGGTGTTGGGGATGGTTTTGGGACGATTCAAGCATGTTACATTCATTGTGTGCCTTCTTTCTATTATTATTACATTTTAATATATAATGAAATAATGATACAACTCACCATAACGTAGAATCAGTGGCAGTCCTGAGCTTGTTTTCTCGCAACCAGATAGTCCCATCTAGGGTTGATGGGAGACAGCGACAGATCATCAGGCATTAGATTCTCATAAGGAGTGCTCAGCCTAGATCCCTTGCTTGCACGGTTCACAAGAGTTTGCACTCCTAAGAGAATCTAATCTGATCTGACAGGAGGCAGAGCTCAGGTGGTAACATGAGTGATGGGTAGCAACTGCAAATGCAGATGAAGAGTTGCTCACTCGCTCACTGCTCACCTCCTCCTGCTGTGTGGCGTCATCTTCCTAACAGGGGGTTGAGGACCCCTGCTGTAAAATGTTACCTTTACAAAAGGGAAGTTTCTGATGTTATTTTCTGCTTGTCTTACAGCAAGACCACTGATGCAGACCCTGCCTTTAAGAACCACTGTCAACAATGGCACTGTGTTACCAAAGAAATCTAGTGGCTCTCTACCGTCCCCCTCCGGGGCCAGGAAAGAAACCGCTGTGCCAACAACCAAAAGGTGAGCCAGAAGCAGGGCCTTAAGGGAACTCTAAAAGCAGTTCTCTCTTAGATCCCAAAATGAGTATTACTTTTTAAAATGATACTGTACAATTTCTTCTCTGAGTTAAAGCTTATAAAAGTCCAACATTTTATATGTTGCCATAACAGGAACTAGTTAAGTTTATTATTATTCTCGTTTTAGATTTACTTGTGTTGCCTTTGAAACCTCACTGGCTAAAACCACAGTGTGGTGTTTTGTATTTTTACTTAAAGTTCTCTTTTGAAAAAACAAATGTTAGTATAACCTGGGTAAAAATAAATAAATGTTCCCAAGTCCATACTGGGAACATGACAAAATTCAGATTGCCATGGCAACCTTAGATTTTCCCTATGCAATTTGGATAAGCTCATGCTTTCAAAATGTACCCAACAGTGGAGTCTAAATATTGATGTTATCTGTCACAAAGAGCACAGTTTGCTCTTAACTTTGGTATTATTTTGTAATTGCCATTTAAAGATTTTTATATTTTAGGGCCAGGTGCAATGGCTTACACTTATAATCCCAGTACTTTGGGAGGCCAAGGTGGGCAGATCACTTGAGCTCAGGAGTGTGAGACCAGCCTACCTTAACCATTTTTAAGTGTGGAGTTCAGTAGTGCTAGCCAGGCTCAGTGGCTCATGCCTGTAATTCCAACACTTTGGGAGGCCGAGTCAGGTGGATTGTCAGAGGTCAGGAGTTCAAGACCACCCTGACCAACATGGCGAAACCCCATCTCTACTAAAAATACAAAAATTAGCTGGGCACGGTGGCACATGCCTGTAATCCCAGCTACTTGGGAGGCTGAGGCAGGAGAATCACTTGAACCTGGAAGGCCAAGGTTCCAGTGAGTCGAGATCACACCATTGCACTCCAGCCTGGGTGACAAGAGCGAAACTCCATCTAAAAAAAAAAGAGTTCAGTAGTGTTAAGTATATTCACACATCTGTTGTTGTGCAACAGAGCTCTGGAACTTTTTCATCAGGCAAAATAGAAATTCCAGACCCATTAAATAGTGAGTCCCCCCTCTGTTCTCCCCACTGCCCTTGACAACCACATCTCTACTTTTTGTTGCTATGATTCTGACTGCATTAGGTATTTCACAGAAGTGGGATCATCTAAGTAGTGCTTGTCCTTTTGTGACTGGCTTACTTTGCTTAGCATAATGTCCTCGACGTGCATCCATATTGTAGCATGTGACTGATTTTCTTTTTAAGGCTGGATAATATTGCATTGTGTGTATATATCATATTTTGCTTTTTATTTTAATTTTAGATTCAGGGGGTGTGTGTGGAGGTTTGTTACAAGGGTATACTTGTGATGCTGAGGTTTGGGCTTCTGTTGATCCCGTTACCCAGATAGTGAAGATAATACCAAATAGGAAGTTTTTCAGCTGTTACCCACCTCTCTCCCACCCTCCTTTTGGAGTCCCCAGTGTCTGTTATCCCCATCTTTATCATATTTTGTTTATCCATTCATCCATCACAGGCTATTCTGTACCATTTATCTGCACATCTGTCCTTATGGCCAATACCCTACCATCTTGATTACTCTTGCTTTTTAGTATGTTTCAAAATCAGGAAATGGGAGGCTCCCAACTCTGTTGTTCTTTTTCATGATTGTTTTGGCTATTTAGGATCCCTTGATATTCCATATGAATTTTAGGATAGTTTTTTTTCTATTTCTGCAAAAAATGCCATTGGGATTTTGATAGAGACTGCATTAAATCTGCATATCACTTTGAGTAGTATGGACATTAAGCAATATTAAGTCTTCCAATCCATAAACATAGGATGTCTTTCTCTTTTTTTGTATTTTCTTTTAGCAAGGTTTTGTGGTTCTCAGTGTATAAGTCTTCTATCTCCTTGGTTAAAGTTATTCCTAAGTATTTTATCCTTTTTGATGCTGCAGTAAATAGAATTAATTTCTTAACTTCTTTTTCAGCTTGGTCATTGTTATTGTATAGAAATGCATCTGATTTTTGTGTGTTGGTTTTGTATCCTGAAACTTTGTTGAAATTATGTATTAGTCCTCACAGTTTTTTTCTGAAATCTTTAGGGTTTTCTAAGTATAAGATTCTGTTATCCGTAGACAGATAGTTTTACTTTGGATCCTTTCCTATTTGGATGCCTTTCATTTCTTTCTCTTGTCTAATTGCTCTGGCTAGGACTTCGAGTACTATGTTGAATAATAGTGGCAAGAGTGGGTGTCTTGCCTTCTTCCTGATTTTAGAGGAAAAGATTTCAGTCTTTCAGTCTTTTAGAGGAAAAGATTCAGTCATTGAATATTTATTTGAGCTATGGCCACTCAAATCTAGCATTTATTACATTGAGGTAGTTTCCTTCTATTCCTAGTTTGTTTTGTTTTTATCATGAAAAGGTGTTGAATTTTGTCAAATGCTTTTTCTGCATCAATTGAAATGATCATGTGGTTTTTGTCCTTTATTCTGTGACTATTGTATCACATTGATTGATTTTCATGTGTTGAATCATTCTTGCATTCCAAATATAAATCCCAATTGGTCATGGTGTATAATCCATTTAATGTGCTGTTGAATTCAGTTTACTAGTATTTTGTTGAGGATTTTTTCATCAACATTCATCAGGGATATTGGTCTGTAGTTTTCTTGTATCTTTGTCTGGTTTTGGTATTAGAATAATGCTGGCCTCATGCAATGATTTGGAAGTGTTCCCTCCTCCTCGATTCTTTGGAAGAGTTTAAGGAGGGTTGGAATTTATCCTTTTTTAAATGTTTGATAGAATTCTCCGCTGAAGTCATCAGGTCCTGGGCTTTTCTTTGTTGGGAGATATTTGATTACTGCTTCAGTCTCCTACTAACTCTAAGTCTGTTCATATTTTTTACTTCTTTATGATTCAGTCCTGGTGGGCTCTTTGTTTCTAGGACTTATTCATTTGCTCTAGGTCACCCAATTTGCTGGCATATGCTTGTTCACAGTGGTCTCTTATAGTCCTTCTCGTTTTTGTTATATCAGTTGTAATGTCCTTTCATTTCTGATTTTAGTTATTTAAATTTTCTCTCTTTCTTTGTTAGTCTAGCTAAGGGTTTTTCAATTTGGTTGATCTTTTTAAAAAAACCAATTCTTGGTTTTGTTGATTATTTTCCTATTGTTTTTCTATTCTCCCTTCATTTGTCTCTGCTCTAATCTTTATTATTTCCTTCCTTCTGCCAACTTTTGGTTTTATCTTTTTTTTCTAGTTCCTTGAAGTATAAAGTTAGGAGGCTGATGTGAGATCTATCTTCTTTTTATGAAAACTTTGATCACTATAGACTTCCCTCTTAGTACCCCTTTAACTGCCTCCTGTAAGTTTTGGTATGTTGTACTTTCATATGTCTCCAGATATTTTTAAAATTTCTTTGTGATTTCCTCTTTGACCATTGATTGTTCAAGAGTGAGTTGTTTAAAGATTCACTTTTTATTGTAGCAAATACAGGCATTCCTCATTTTATTGTGTCTGTCTTTATTGTGCTTTACCACATTTTTTTACAAATTGGAGGCGGTGGCAAGCCTGTGTTGAGTAAATCTATCAGCATCGTCTTTCCAACATGTACCCACTTCATGTCACATTTTGGTTATTCTCGCAACATTACAAACTTTTTTGTTATCATTATGTCTGGAATGGTGATCAATGATCTTTGGTGTTAATACTGTAATTGTTTTGGGGCACCCAAAACAGCACCCAGAGAAGGTGGCAAACTTAATCCATAAATGCAGTTTGTGTCCTGACCGCTCTGCCCATTGTTTCCCTATCTCTCCCTCTCCATCGGCCTCCCTTTTCCCTGAGACACAGCAGTATTGAAATAAGGCCATTTAGTAACCCTATAATGGCCTGTAAGTGTTCAAGTGAAGGAAGAGTCATACATTTCTCACTTTAAATCAAAAGCTAGACATGATTCAGCTTAATGAGGAAGGCATGTGAAAAGCCAGGATAGACCATCATGTGGTTTAGATGTTTGTCTCCTCCACATTTCAAGTTGAAATGTGATCCCCAGTGTTGGAGATGGGCCTGGGAGGAGGTGTTTGGGTCATCAGCGTAGATCCCTCATGAACGTCTTGGTGCTGTCCTCACAATGAGTGAGTTCTTGCTGTGAGTTCACTCAAGGTCTGGTTGTTTAAAAGAGCGTGGCACCTCCTCCCCACTTGCTCCTTCTCTTGCCAAATGACATGCCTGCCCCGTCTTGTCTTCTGTCATGATTTAAAACTCCCTGAGACTGCACCAGAAGCTGAGCAGATGCCGGTGCCATGCTTCCTGGACAGCCTGCGGAACTGTGAGGCCATTAAACCTCTTTTCTTTATAAATTACCCAGCCTCAGGCATTCCTTTATAGCTGCACTAAATGGACTCATGCAGGCCTGTTGTGCCAAACAGTTAGCCAAGTTGTAGATGCCAAGAAAAAGTTCTTGAAGGAAATTCGAAGTGTTACTCCAGTGAACACGCGAAAAAAAAAAAAAAGGTGACATCCTTATTCCTGATAGGGAGAAAGTTTGAGTGGTCAGAATCAAAGATCATACCAGGCACAACATTCCCTTAAGCCAAAGCCTAATACAGAGCAAGGCCCGAACTCTCTTCAATTTTATGAAATCTGAGAGAGGTGAGGAAGCTATAGAAGAAAAGACTGAAGCCAGCAGAGGTTGGCTCATGAGATGAAGGAAAGATGCCCTCTCCATAACATAAAAGTGCAAGGCAAAGCAGCAAGTGCTATTATAGAAGCTGCTACAGGTTATGCAGAAGACCTAGCTGGTTAAGATAACTGATGAAAGCAGCTACACTACACAACACATTTTAGACCGGGCGCGGTGGCTCACGCCTGTAATCCCAGCACTTTTGGAGGCTGAGGCAGGCAGATCACGAGGTCAAGAGATCGAGACCATACTGGCCAACATGGTGAAACCCGTCTCTACTAAAAATACAAAAAATTAGCTGGCGTGGTGGCGGGCGCCTGTAATCCCAGCTCCTTGGGAGGCTGAGGCAGGAGAATTGCTTGAACCCAGGAGGCAGAGGTTGCAGTAAGCCGAGATCGCACCACTGCACTCCAGTCTGGGCAAAAAGAGCGAAACTCTGTCTCAAAAAAAAAATAAGAAAAAAAGCAACAACAACAACAACACATTTTCAATGTAGACAAAACAGCCTTATATTGGAGGAAGATGCCATCTAGGACTTTTATATGAGAAGTCAATACCTGGCTTCAAAGCTTCAGAGGAGAGACAGACTCTTGTTAGAGCCCGATGTGGCTGGTGACTTTAAATTGGAGTCAGTGCTCATTTATCTTTCCAAAAATCCTAGGGCCCTTAAGAGTGATGCTAAATCTCTTCTGCCTGTGCTCTGTAAATGGAAGAAAACCTAGATGACAGCACATCTGTTACAGCAATATGATATACTGAATATTTTGAGCCCATTGTTGAGGCCTACTGCTCAGAAGAAAAAGCTTCCTTTCCAAATATTACCATTCATTTACAGTGTACCTAGTCACCCAGGAGCTCCGATGGAGCGGTACAAGGAAATTAATGTTTTTATGCCAACTCACACAACATTCATTCTGCAGCCCTTGGATCAAGGAGTAATTTCAACTGTCAAGTTTTATTATTTAGGAAATACTTTTTTTTTTTTTTTGAGACAGAGTCTTGCTCTGTCTCCCAGGCTGGAGTGCAGTGGTGTGATCCCGGCTCACTGCAACCTCTGCCTCTGGATTCAAGTGATTCTCCTACCTCAGCCTCCCAAGTAGCTGGGATTACAGGTGCACACCACCATATCCAGTTAATTTTTTTGTATTTTTAGTAGAGACAGGGTTTTGCCATGTTGGCCAGGATGATCTCGATCTCTTGACCTCATGATCCGCCCTCCTCGGCCTCCCAAAGTACTGGGATTACAGACATGATTCCCCACACCTGGCAAGGCTATTGCTGCCATTGATAGTGATTGCTCTAATAGATCTGGGCAATGTCAATTGAAAACCTTCTAGAAAGGATTCAACATTCTAAATGCCTTTAAGAACATTTGTGGGACCAGGCACAGTGACTCACACCTGTAATCCCAGCACTTTGGGAATTTGAGGCAGGAGGATTGCTTGAGTCCGGGAGTTTGAGACTGCAGTGAGCCATGTTTGCGCTACTGCACTCCAACCTGGGCAACGGAGTGAGACCCTGTCTCAAAAGAAAAAAAAAAAAAAAGAACATTTATGATTCATGGGAGGAGGCCAAAATCTCAACATGAACACGAGATGAATGGGAAGAAAATGATTTCAGCCCTCATGGATGACTCTGAGGCAGTTCAAGACTTCACTGGAGAAAGCCACTGCAAATATGCTGGAAATAGCAAGAGAACTAGAATTCAAAGTGCAGCCTGAGGATAGGACTGAGTTGCTACAATCTCCTGATAAAACTTTAATGGGTGAGGAATTACTGCCAAAATAGTTGTTTCTTGAGATGGGATCTACTCCGAGAGAAGATGCTGTGAACCCTGTTGAAATGACAATGAAGGGTTGAGAGTAGCACACAAACCCTGATGAAGCAGTGGCAGGGTCGTGTGGCTGGAGCGTGGGGAACGTGGCCTGGGCTGTCTGGCTCCAAAGCCTGTGTGCCTTCCATTGTGCTCGGCTGCTTCCTGCACAGATTTCCAGGTCACCCCTGACATCTGCCGAAGGAAAATGCTTGCTATAATGACTGCTTGCAAATCATCCTTCTTTTATGCCCCATCCTGTCCATGTACTATTTGTGGGAGCAGGAGCAGCCATCAGGAGTGAGGGTGACTCTCAGCAGAGATTTCTCAGATTGCAAGTCTGATGTTGATAAGGGGGCACCGGGGCCAAACAGCAAGTAAAGAAACAAGTCTGGGCTATGAACAGAAGCCTGGGTCTTACACCCCTACATTTCAGCCAGATGTGAAAGGGCTCATAGGTGGCGATTACTCTCAGCAATTTTATCTTAGTAAAGAAGGGAGGGAGGAAGGGAGCAAGACAGAAAGGAACGAATGGACACGTGAAAAATTATGATAGTAGCCATCATGTTATTTGTAAGTGTGTACATTTGTGTACTCGCATTTAAATGGTAACCCTCCCAGAAACATTCTAAGGCCTCTGTAGACTTTTCCTTATAATTTACAGAATATCCATTTGATTACTCTAATAAGCTGTGGTCAGCATATAGCTGCCAACTAGAAATACATAGTTTTCTAGACTGAGTGCCCAAGACTCTGGGTTTTGAGTGAAAGCGTAGTGATTCATGTATTTTGGTTCGTTTCTGGCTTTTATGGGCTTCAGTGGACGGGAGTTCCCTTCCATTTGGAAGCTGGAAATAAGAACAGTAGCATCTAATTGCTACTCCGCGGTAAAGTTCCTGTAGATCTCTCATTAGGAGAGAATTTTGAAAACAGAAGCAGGCTGGGCATTCTGAATATTAGGATTAAAATAACTTCCAAGTCATTTCAAATCTGTTTACAATCAGGTAGGAATTTTTCTGTAATCAGAGTTCCAAATTAAATGAGTCGGGGCATCTGTGGTGTGTGGATGGGTATGTGTTTGTTTTCTTTTCTCTGGGGGTTTTTCAGCCTGGTGCTTAGGAACAAAATCCCCTTTGGAAATAGTCCAGTGCCCAGCGGTTGTGCTTTGTGTTGCCAATTAAGACTTCGATTGAGGGCTTGATTTGGAATCCTTGGGAAAAGCTTTGTTTCCATTAGGCAAAGGAAAAAAGGCAGAAAATCCAGAGAAGACATTGTAGGTCATACCTTGCTCAGTGGGGATGCGGAGGCTGACAATGGAGTAACATTTCTACTGGCTCAAGAAAGAGACAATCACTGTTCTCTGGGCTCATAAGTAGAGCATGACAATAGGCCAAGCTATGTGAACAGAGATCAAAAGAACAAAACTGGTACAAAAAGCGTTATTTAAAAAATGCTCTGTGACAAATGTGAGATAGAATGGTAAATATCTCTTGCTTCCAAACAAACAGCCAATAGTCCTTTGGAAAAATAGTTCCACTTGTTAGAAGCACAGCATTTGTAATTGCACTGAAGTCAGTGCTGGGGACATAGCATGATTTGAAGAACAGAAAGCCAAAATCTGGCTTCAGTTGATTTTTAAGAATTATTTCTAATGTATTTCTCTATTATTCAGATGAATTGAAACGTAGGTGATAAATCCATGTTTGAGTCTGTTCTCGGTAGCTAGATAGAGGTGGAAGTAGTATCCTGTTGAACAAAGGAAGACCCGTGGGGCCTGTCCCATTATCAGAAGTAATATGGTTCTCCTCACTAGCTTGAGTAGTTGACTTTGTATTGTAGAAAAAAAGACTTGTATATATAGAATTCTCTAAGATTCTCCAAGACCACTAGCCTTCCTGAAAAATAACTTGGATTTTGCCAAAGATCAGTTTTTAGACAGTGAAAAGTATGAGCATTTGTTAATTTAATTATTGAAGTGCGTCATCTCAGTCTGTCAGAATTATCTCGTAATTTGAGGGACAAAAGCCAGGTGGGTCCTAGTCCCCTGTGGACCCTCCAGCACTCAGCATAGCACACAGTGGATGGTCGATGCCTAGTAAGTGTTTGTTGAGCAGTTCACTGCTTTTATCCAGTGTTAGTCGCCCCAGCTGTCGGGACAAATGAAATCATCAGAAAATCTCTGGTCACACTTAAGAGCTGCCTGTCAGATTTCTGTTTTGGTTGTAAAAGTTTGGGATACTTTTGCAAAATTTTGGAAAACCAATTTTTGATTCCCAATCACATGATGAAGGAAAACCTAATTGTAGGTTCTTATGCTTAGAATTCCTATTAACCGTAAGAAGAAAGACATCTGTTTTTCTTATGGTCACCAGTCTCTTTGCAGAAATTTTATTATGTCTAAAGTGTTAATTGGCACAAATTGTTGAATGCATACGTAATGTAATGTAAAGAACCATTTATTTTCATAACTTAGAAGGTTGCAGGTCTGGGTGTGCGGGCAGAGAGCAGAAGGGAAAACAAAGTAATGGTGATGTCTAATGCATTTCTACACCAGCAATACTTGCCTTAAGCACTAGAAAATGTACTGCATTATTGCGCAGTCTCTCACAAGCCAGTACTTCTACCACTTTCAAAATAAAGAGCATTATTTTTCACTCGCCGTCCAGAGGGAACATAGCTTCTTTGATATTCCCTGCTGGTTATTTGAGGAGGCTTCCTGCAGTGAGTGTACAGTATTGCTCTCTCTGGCTGCCCTTGTTACCGCAAATGTCTTGTCTTCAAGCTTTATTTTCTGTCCTTCACTTTGAGTCCTAGTAAATCCTCTTTAATTCACAAGAGCCGTTGGTTCTCAAAAGGAAATGTCTTGTTTTTTATTCTACGTCTGGGACAACAGTAAGTTTTTTTTAAAAGTTTAACATTTTAATGCAAATATGGGAATGACAAATATCTTGGAAGAGTTGTGATGGATTATATCCACATCTATATATGCGAACCAAAATGTTTTTCAATTTTGATGTGTGCGTCCTGCAATTTACTGAAGCTTATCGAAGTATTTTTCCACACTTTTATTAATTGCACTCACGTTTATTCTGCTTTGTTTCTGTGCCTCTTATACGTAGATTAAACAGATCTGTGAGTCTTCTCAATGCTTGCAAACTGAATAGATCGACACCAAGGTGAGGGGAACTTAGATTTACTTTGTCACTATAGCTGTTCCTTCCACTGTTTCCATCTCTGTTTTAACATAGTAGCTCCAAGGTCTTGTCCAGTGCCTACCATTCATCAAGTCGTCAATCATGTAACTATATTAATCATTGACATTTATTGTTTTTTTAGATGCTCATCTGGTCCTCCAAAACTAGTATACTTTGACATTCATAAATTGCAGGTGGTGTTGATTAGGGGCCTAATAGAGAGAACACAGGGTTGAAGTCACCAGCCCCACCACTTGCTGTAACCCCAGACAAGTTGCTTCACACTCCTGAATTTGGTTCTTCATCTGTAAAATGAGGATAATGATATTGCTGCTGGGATTTGTGAGGTTTTAATTAAATAATACAGTATATGTAAAAGTCCAGAGAACTGCTTAAATGTTAACTGTGGCTGCTGCTGCAGTTTTCATCACTGGCACCCCCATGAACCCTTCCAGCCACCAGGTTGGGGGTTAATTGTTAGAAAATCAGGTATTGTTTGCTGTAGTTGATGAACAGTTGTGGTTTTTCAGCTCTTTAAGGGTGTTTTATACAGTTCTCGAACTTGCTGTGAACTTGCCATGAACTCCCACAAGGACGCCCCAGAGGCCGAGCTCTGGGCTCTTCTTGCGGCTGCAAAATCTCCCAGGGCCCCGGCAGCTGGTCAGGGCAAAGTGTGCTTCAGAGCCTTGTACTAAAGGCTGGGCGGAGAATAATCCTGCTAAGTCAAATTTGCTTGGTGTTTGTCGTCATGGGAACATCTTGAACTTGAAGCACAAAGGCTCCTGTAATTTTTAGACTTTAATCCCAAATTTCAGAAATGTAATGCTCGCTTAAAATCTGTAATGTCCTTGTCCCCAAATTGAGCATTCTCAAAACGCACATTTTGACCTTAAGGCACACCCCGCTGATTGCAGTCGTAAGATTCTGGCACTGTCCACTCAAGGGTTCCCCAGTTACCAAAAAGACTATGTGGAAAGTGTATTCAGATAATCACCCTGAGAGCGAGGTGATTTTTCAAAGCCAACATACCGTGAGGGTTTTGAAAAACCTGCTCAGAGATTACTAACTGAGCCACTGGAAGTTGCAAAGGAAGGAAGACTGCAAGTTGGGCTAAGGAGGGTGTAGACAGAGGAGACAGAGAGGGGAAGGTAGGAAGAGAGGAGAGAATCACTGGCTACCAAGAAGGAGAGCGGCCAGCACCAGGCAGGAACTGCCTAGATGGGAGGCTTGTCATTTCCTTATGAGGAGGGAGGACATTGAGCTTCAGTGCAGGAGCAGAGGTGTTGGCTGTGTTAAGTTCCTCAGTTCCTTCGTGCTCCTTGTTGAGATCTGGTTCCCATGCACCCTTCACTGAAGCTGTGCCCACTGGAGATGCCTGAGACTCCCCACTTCCCGGGGCTCACCCCCTCCTCTGTGCAGCACCAGCACACGTACCAAGTCCTGCACTAGCCTCTGCACACCACTCCTTCTCTCCTGGTGTCGCTGCTACCTCTGACTCCTGCGGTAGCTTCTCAGCCCACGTCTTTAAACATTAGTTTTCCTGGGGCTCTTCCGTCCTTGGTGACCTCCTCCCTCAGTGATTTCCTCTGCATCCGTGGCTCAGCACCCGCCAGATGGACAAGGCCTGTCCTGAGCTGTCTCGGGTGTTGCAGGCTTGTATTCTCACCCACCCACACCTCCAGTTCCAAGTGTCAAGACCAGAACCACCCTAGTCTGTGCCTGTTCCCAGAGCCCTGGCCCCTTGCCCACCCCTCCCCTCCTTCTTTTTTGCTACAGCAGGTGCTGCCTTAAAGCAGTTTGTGTCTCTTCTGGTGACGGGGTCGGTGTGTGATACTTCCATTCATTTCATCCTTTTATTTAATAAATGTGTACCAAACTTGTATGAGGCTCTGCAAAGCATGCGAAAATGATAAATGAGATAAGATCTCAAGAAATGTGTGGACTAATGATGAAGATTATAAAATATATACAGAGATACCTATACTACAGTTATGTGCTCTGTCTTAGTGAGCTTGGGTTGCTGTAACAAAGTCCATAGACTGGGAAGCGTATAAACAGCAGAAATATATGTCTCACCATCCTGGAGGCTGGGAGTCCGAGACTAAGGGGACCAGCATGGTCTGGTTCTGAGGAGGGCTGTCTTCCAGGTTGCAGGCGGCCATCTTCTCACATGGCGGAAAGGGTAAGAGAGCTCTCTGGGCCTCTTCCATAAGGACACTAATTCCACTGATGAGGGCTCCACCCTGCTGACTTCATCACCTCCCGAAGGCCCCACCCCCTAACTCCATCACATTGAGGGTTAGGGTTTCTACACATGAATTTGGGGGACACAAACAGTCCATAGTGTGCTCTGAGAGGGGGACAATCAGCCTCCACTCCGTGCCTGGGCTCTGGTTTACCCCTCATGCCTGCGAATCCCCTGTGTATTGGAGATCCGCTCTCCTAGAGCAGGCTCTTTCCGTCTGTGTCGTAACAACACATTCAAGCCATTTGATCTTTCCTGGAAATTCGCAGTCTTCGGGAAGCCTTCCCCAGGCTGCCTTCCCAGGCCTCCGAGCACTCTAGTCACTCTTGTCCTACGAACGAAGTTGGCCACTTACATGGACACCACCTCCAAACGAAGGCATCTTGCATAGGGTGGAACATTTCTGTCGTTACCTGTGGCATCCTGTTAGCATTTGTCCCACGCGTGCCTTTAGGCCAGATTTCTTCGGCATCAGCACTGTTGACGTCTGGGCCAGGTGATACTTTGTGGAGGGGCCATCCTGGGCTGCGTAGGATTTTTAGCAGCACCCCTGGCCTCCACCCACTACATGCCAGTAGCAGTCCCTCCCCAGCTGTGGCAGCAGAAGGATGTCTCCAGACATGGCCAGATGTCTCCTAGGGGCACCATCCCCCTGGGTTGCACAGCACCATCTAGACCAAGCTTGTCCAGCCTGCGGGCCCATGGGCCGTGTGTGGCTCAGGACGGCTTTGAATGTGGCCCAACACAAATTTGTAAACTTTTTTAATACTCTATTTTTTTGCAATTTTTTTTTTGTGTTTAATTCATCAGCTATCGTTAGCATTAGTATATTTTATGTGTGGCCGAAGACAATTCATTCTTCTTCTTCCAATGTGGCCCACAGAAACCAAAAGATTGGACATCCCAGGAGAGTGAAGCCTGCTCAGGGGCAGGATTGCCTCCCTGGAAGGCCCTGGAGTGCTCTCACACGGTACTGTTGAAGTCTTAATGTCTCAGTTTCTTCCATGACTGTGAACTGTACTAGTGGCCTCAGTTACAGAGGCAGAGAGCAGAGGTGTTATTCCATGTGACACTCTGAAAAGCTTTTTGATCTCCGTAGCTAGGCCTATCTTTTGAATATCCATGTGGAAGGATGATGTTCTATGTATGTATTTGTATGCATCACAATAAAATAAAATCACGATATTGAGGAGTTCACTGTCACTTACATTCCACCCTTAGTAACATCAAGAGGACCAGCTCTTCTGAACGAGTATCTCCTGGGGGTCGAAGAGAAAGCAATGGGGATTCCAAAGGAAACCGGAATCGCACAGGCTCTACCAGCAGCTCTTCTAGTGGCAAAAAGAACAGTGAAAGGTAAGGACGTCTTATCTCTTGGTTCCTGCCGTTCAGATATTTTAGCACCGCTTGTCCCCAGAGAGGAGTCAGAAGATCCCCTCATATTCCATCAAGCTAGGAGCACTCTTGGAGAAGAAGGCCTTCTCCTCAGATATTTGTAGGCACTAATCAAACAGCCATTTGAGGGCAGCTGCCAGGCATAGTTCACACAAACTACTGCGCAGGTAGAAAAACTGTCACTCAGATTCCCAGCACTCTCATGTAGACATAAGTAGTTCCTGAGAATTTCTTAGTACCACGTGCCTGGAACTGGGGAAGCCATTCTGAATTTCTATGTGAGCACCTTCTATTTCCAGTACACTCTCCTGACCTTTTAAAGTTCATTTTAATGGACTGCTTTAAGTTTGTCAGCAGCATTTTCTGAGACAGAGTGGCTGAAAAGTTGTAATTTTATGATTTATCAGAGGCTATGTTTTATATTGATGCTAACACCAGAAATGTGAACCATTTTTCTTAATGGTTTTGTGAAATACATGGACTCCAAATTTTGAATTTTTCTATGAGGTTAGTTTGTAATGGATTATGGTAAGTATCGGTGAAACTCATGCTAACATTTTATTCCTGAATGCTGCTTTTTGGCATTTTAGCAGCTTGTTTTGTGTCTACACAATACATTTATATCTATATAATGTACTCCGTAAAGAAAATCCAGTTTCTCTATGTGTTTTTACCTAACATTGTACTTTGTTCTCACTTTTTAAACACTGTACTTTAATTTTATTCTCTCTGTGTGGTAAAGCTTAGGAAGGAATTTCAGCTTCAGAGGCTAAGCATGTGTTTTTTCCCCAAATGTTCATGTCAGGAGAAGGCTTAGTCATAAAGCAATCGACTCCAACCCACAGGCTGTAAAAATTCCAAGTTTGTAAATCCATGGTGATTCAGTCCTATAAAGGAAGCTTAAACTCTTTTTCAGTTTTATTCCTAAAAGATGTCTGTTGTAGAAAACATAGAGACACTTCTCATATCTATAGCGGGTCAGGTCCACGGTCAATTAACAATTAAAAAAACCATTAACATGGGTTCTGTCTTCTTCTCATTTAGACTATTAGTACTTCTTATCAGAAGATTATGCTAATGGGGTGATAATACCTTGGAAATGAGGCCAAGTGGTTACAATGGCAACAGAGTGTGAGTTAGTGGGAGGCGCAGCACAGCCCAAAGCTGCTTTGAATTCAGGGTAAGCTTGGAAGTTGACCTGAAATGTCTAGATCTTGGCAGTTCTTAGAGACTTGGCTCCTCCTCTGCACATCTGATTTTTATTAAGAATTTCCAAAAAGAATCTGCATTGTGTAAACTCTAGATCCGTTTTATCTTTAAAATCCTATGGCTTTGGTAGATGTGCTGGGTAAATATTTCCACAGAAGATATTTACAAAGAGATTTTTGAAAAACGCCACAGTAGGAAATTTTGATTTGGAAATGAGGGACTGGGAAAATTTACTAATCATGTTCCCAAACTAATTCAGGCAACTAAACATGTCCATTTTAAAAGAAATTCTTTGTCTCGTTAGAACCCAGGCGTGGTTGAAGCGAGCAGAGCACAGAACTGGCTGAGCTTCGTGCATGGTGCACCGAAGGGGTTTCAGAGACAGTCACTGTCTCCTCTTAGGCAATTGCTGTTCCTGACAGGGACGCATGGGAGTAAGTGCTGTGGTAACTCAGAAAGAAGCAGCTAAGATGCGGTAGAAGTGAAGGTCAAGCTGGTAATTCAGTGGCTGTGTGACCCCTTCCCGCCTTTCTTTCTCTGTATTCCCACGTGTGCAGCCCCATGCTTAGGCTGCTTTGACCCTAGCACCAAAGCAGAGCTGGAGTCTTGCTGAGAAACGCCACTCTCAAGGATGGGACACGAGGAAGGAAAGGAGTAGGGAGGTGGGCCCCCACGTAATTTCTGTTTTTAAACATGACTGCATTCAGTGGACTCAAGATGGCATGCCTCTTCCCCATCGTTCACTTGACGTGTCCATTGTTCCTGCAGGCTGTCCTGTGATTTAAAAGATTGCCCTTGTTGGATTTGTGTAGGCAGCAAGACATGGTGGAAAGGGCAGAGGCTCCGCAGTAAAAGAAAGGTCTGGGTGTGTATCCAGTTCTGCCTTAATGTCTCCAAGCTCAATTTTTTCCTCTGCAAATTAGAGATTTTATACCTAATTCCCTTGAATCTTATAAATGAGCTAACTTCTAGGAAAATACCCAGCATAGAGCTTGGCACTCAGTAAATGGTCGTCATCGCTGTGATGGTTGTTATAAAGACAGGCTTGTGTGGAGCAGAGGAAGGTAATTGGTGAGATTTTCTACAATCCCTCCCTTTTTATTTTCCTCATTTGTGAGGTGAAAGTGTTAGATTTTGTCACAATCCGTGTTGCACTTGTGTCTAACATAGTTGGGGGAGATAAAGTATTGTAAATCCTCATGATGCTTACAGTTCTTAAATAAGGCGTCAGGCGGGAGCTGGTCTGTAGGCTGCGTGTGATCCCAGCCTGCCCGCTGTTCTGGAGCCCCCTTCTCTTCCACTCAGGAAGGCTTGTTAGGGTGCACGTGAGTGAGAGTGCTGACGTCATAGGGATGGCTTCCACCCTGTGCTGCTTTGTAGAAGAAGCAAATCATTCACACAGGCAGTGCTTTAACTTGCAGCCGTGACAGATTATTAGCCATAAAGCTCACAGTTTCTCACACGCCATGTGCAAAGCTGTCGTTAGCACATATGGCACTTAGGCGCAAATGAGAAAAAGGCTCCCTTTACTTCAGAAAAACAGTTCCATCTCAACACATATATTTCTCAATAATAATAATTGCAGTAGATAGAAAGCCATTCTGTATAAATTATACAAATCTTACTATTGAACACACAATAATAGTGTTTGCGAAGTCCTAAATATTAACCTTTTCCGAGATACTTTATTTTAAAGTAATTACATGTTTTGCTTTCATAAAACTATATTCTTTTTCTTTTTCTTTTGTTTGAGATGGAGTCTTACTCTGTCTCCAGGCTGGAGTGCAGCGGCACAATCTTGGGTCACTGCAACCTCTGCCTCTTGGGTTCATGCGATTCTCATGCCTCAGCCTCCTTAGTAGCTGGGACTACAGGTGTGTGCCACCATGCCCAGCTAAGTTTTGTATTTTTAGTAGAGACGGAGTTTCACCATGTTGGCCCGGATGGTCTTGAGCCCTTGACCTCGTGATCCACCCTCCTCGGCCTCCCGAAGTGCCGGGATTACAGGCGTGAGGCACGCGCCCAGCCAAAACTGTATTGTTTATGATGGTTTCAGTCTTCTTGCTCCCATGTTTCATTTTCTTTACAAACGGTCACTAGATTGGAGTCTTTCTTGTGATAAGGAAGACCTTTATCTTAGAATGTTTAACTTTTTCAAATACTTTGTAACAAGCCACAAAATTTAACAGCATTTAATCTTTGCATCAACAAAACCTCTATTATAAACAAAAGCAATATATGATAATATTTTACTTTATGTACTATTGATGATAAATGAATATTAATTACATAGTGATTGATGTCATCATGAAATACGACATTTAAATAGGGAATTGGCAATAACATTGTGATAGAAGGCTTGTAAAATGTAGCCGGTAAACTAATCTGATAGAGATATTTTTCAATTAAAAAAGTATTTTATCCCCAATAGAAAATTGGCTGCTTATTTAGAAGCACAGTTCATGTTAGATATTGCTAGATTGATAAAGCGTTTCAATTATCAAACTGGTTCCCCTTTTGTTAAGTCTTAGGGGAATGAGCTATGTCAACTTTATAAGCAAGACACTGTTTCAGCTTTACTGAGAAGTTGTTGAAATGAGTTGATTTTGTTAGAGTAAGGATGTTTCAGTCATGTGTTAGAAACTTTGCTGTCACATACATATAAATCAGGGGTATCCCTGGACTTTCGGCTTCCCCAGATTAAAAGAATTGTCTTGGGCCACACATAAAATACATGAACACTTATTGATAGCTGATGAGCCAAAAAAAAAAAAAAAAGCCAAAAAACATCTCATGTTTTAAGAAAGTTTACGAATGTGTGTTGGGCCACATTCAAAGTCGTCCTGGGCCACATGTGGCCTGTGGGCTGTGGGTTAGACAAGTGTAATATGAACTGCCCATCTTTGGAGTCAACAAACATAAAAAAAAAAACACCTCAACATAGTGAAGACGTTGACATGTTAGGTGTGGTGCCCTTTTGTATTGTGCCCCCTCAACCCCAGGATCAGACAGCCCCATATCACAGCTGTCAAGTCGAGAACCCCTGGGCTGGACACTTTGAGTGCCTGTCCTCTCTAAAGCTCTAGCATTTAGTAAAATTGTCTTCTGACTATTTCACCTCAGGGTTCTTCAGGGCGCAAAGTTGTTTTTCCTTTACGATGGCATCACTGCTGCTCACTGCTGCCGTCAGCTCAACATTACTCCTTGGCTGGGGCTCCGGGCCCTTCATCCGCCAGCTCCTCATTCCCTCTTGTGCCCTGACACCCATGCCTCTCCAACACATTGCTCACTTTTCCCCAGCAAGATTTTTTCCTTTTTTGAGGCCATCTATTTATTATACAAGTAACTTGTTTTAGAAAATCTAGGCCGGGTGTGGTGGCCTACTCCTATAATCCTAGCACTTTGGGAGGCTGAGGTGGGTGGATCACTTGAGCCCGGGAGTTCAAGACCAGCCTGGACAGCATGGCAAGACCCCATCTCTACAAAAAAATACAGAAATTAGCTGGGCGTGGTGGCGCATACCTGTTGTCCCACCTGTTTGAGAGGCTGAGGTGGGAGGATTGCTCAAGCCTGGGAGGTTGAGACTACAGTGAGCTGTGATCGTACCACTGTACTCCAGACTGGGCAATGGGAGTGAGACCCTTTCTCAAAAAAAAAAAAAAACTAGATGCACAAGAAGGAAGAAACGAAAATCACCTGCAGTCTCACCACGCAGCGAACTCACAGCCAACAGTCATTACATTTCCACGTGG